TGAGAGATCCATCATATGGATGGCCGAACCCTGCAGGAAGGTTGGGCGAAACTTCAAAAATTTCTCTCTCCCATGTGGGAATCGCATTTCCTATTTTAGAAAAGTGCATTTTCAAGGATCAATCTTGAAACCAAACCGGACCAGATCTGTAACCAAAAAGGTAGGAGAGAGATATACTTGATGCAGAGTAATAGTAACTCCCAACGAAGGTATTCACTCCCAAGGAGGAAACCAAAGACTGCTCCCACCGAAGATGACACAATGTGAGGTGGAGCAGAATCAACAGGATGACTCTTCAGCAAGAACCAAATTCTTCAGCAAGAATGTGATGGAGGGCTGGGGAGCACAACTTTAGATTACCTTTTCTACCAAAAGGTAATATTAAGAACCTTTCTTGATCACTCCCACAGGTGGAGATCGAACTGACAGGGGCAGCAAGAGCAGGAAAGAGCAGAAGACTGGAGTAGTCAAACTGCAGATTCTTCTATCTTTGTAATCTATGAACTGAGTATTGTATCTTGGAGGTTCACCCTGCTCCTCTATTTATAGCCTTTAAAAAGAGCATCTCTAATCCCATTAGGAGTTTCCTAATCCAAATATTGTATTTGGATCTGGACTCTCTTTAAGAGATAAGAATAATCCCTTATCTTATCTGTAGATAAAGACTTATCTTATCTGTAGATAAAGATCAACCTTCCTTATCAAATTAGGTTATTTGGATCTAGACTCTTTGAGTGGATAGGGATAATCCCTTATCTTATCTATTGATTTAAATCCCAGAACCGCCCCTAATTAATGTCTTATTAAGTCAGTTCGAATTGGGCTTTAGGCCCATTAAGTCTATGTGCTCATTTAACCTCCTAACTACTATTCAGTTGGCTGTCCTTGTATGGCATGGGACCCAAACATTGATCTACACATCAGCCACATGGGTTTAACCTAGCCTCTGTTATAAGGCCTGGCCGAATTCACTGTAGTAAATAGTGAACCCCTGAGTCCATCACCATGGGTTCTTAATGGGCCCAACATTTACACTAAATGGTCATTGGGTCAAGCCACTTTATAAAAACCCAAGGACTGTGGGCAGATGCAAGATTTGCCCATAAGGTATTACCCTCAATGGTCTTACACTTAACCTCTCAGCCCATAATGATCAAACACTGCCCGATAAGAGATGACCTCTCCCTCGACTGCAAGGTACAGTGCTTCACTCTCTACTCACATGAATCCCGGGAATTAAAACCTTTTACAAACATTTTGAAACCATAATATATATATGTGTGTGTGTGTGTGTGTGTGTGTGTGTGTATGTATATCTTTATATAAATATATTTTGCTAAACAAAGTTTAGGTTTCCATCAGAGAGAGTGCATCCCCGAGCATTCACTTTATCCGACAAAGGGGCTGATCCTATCACTATGATCACTCACTCAGATGAATTCTCGAACTGTCCCAACATACCAAGTTTTCACCCTCTCTAAGGATTTCACTGATTGACATATCAAAGACAGTCCATTCCAACACCTAGTGTAGTATCATAATTGAGTCTAGGGGTCAGGTGTAACATTCCAGTTTTGTCCATCTATCTCTAAGGTCCAAGGCAATACTGGAATTTTGGTCTGGTTCAGGGTTTCAAGAAAAATCACACTGCATGTACCTCAGGTCTCACATTGGCAGTTGAGACAAGCCACCCTATTGAACTTGGCGGCACATCAGTGTCAGCCTTGACAAGATAAATCTCCCCAGATCTATCCAACGGCTGTGAAGATTCTAAACTAACATGAATCAAATATGTGTCCAGTTTAAGGGTATTACACAGAAACACCATGATAACATGAATCAAATATGTACTTTATTCATTTACATTAAATGTCATAATGTACATCATTCTGATTGGAGCTAAGGGCATACACTGTCTAACACCCGGATCTTTAGCAATGTGTGATTTGTTCACAATCTAAGTTATGGTTTAGACAAACTGGATGCACACTCTATTAAGTGTATCTTTCTTGGTTACTTTCGGGACTTGAAGTACCGTCATCTCCACCATTACTTCCTCATCCTCTTCCAGTTAGTGATCCTATTCCGGTTGTTCCTGTTGGGGTTGAATCTTCACCTCCTCCAATGTAGATTCCTACTTAACGACCACCGATCTGACACGTGTATATTCATCAACAGACATCGGCACTTCCTCCGGCTTCTACCTTGTCTGTGGATCATGTTGTTACCCTATCTGAGAACCTTCAGAAATTGATCTTCCCATTGCTTTACGGAAAGGTAAATGTAGTTGTAGCCTACATCCCATGTCCAATTTTGTTTCGATTTCTCACATTTCCGTTTCACATCGCTAGTTTGTTTCTCTGTTGTCCTCTATATCTATACCCAATAATGTCCATGAGGCTTTTAATTCACCTGGGTGGCGTCAAGCAATGGAGGAGGAACTCTGCTCTTTAGCAAGCTCACATGTGGGAGCTCATCACTCTTCATCCAGGTAAGCATGTTGTGGATTGTAAATGAGTGTATTCTATTAAATACTCAATTGTATGGAATGGACTATATGAAGACCTTCTCTCCTGTGCCAAAGATTGGTTAAGTCTGTCTTAATTTCCTTGGTAGTTATGTATGATTAGCCCCTATTTCAATTTGACATTATAAATGCCTTTCTCTATGGTGACCTTATGGAGGAGGTGTATATATGGAGTAACCACCTGGGTTTGTTGCTCAAGGGAAAGATGATAAGGTGTGTAGACTGAAAAAGGCAATTTATGGGTTGAAACAATTTCTCCGTGCTTGGTTTGGGAAGTATAGTGAAGTGGTGAAGAATTTTGGAATGAAACAATGTCAGGTTGACCACTCAATGTTCAACCATGATTCTAAAGCCAGAAAGATTTTATTAGTACTCTATGGATGATATTGTCATATAACTGGCAATGACAAATTGGGGATTGACAAAGTAAAGGCTTTTCTACAAGACCATTTTCAAACAAAAGACCTTGGAAGTTGAAGTATTTCTTGGATATACAAGTTGCCAAGTCAAAACAAGGTGTAAACTTGTTCCAAAGAAAATATGTCATTGATTTGTTGGATGAAACAGGGTTGTTAGGTGCGAACTGGTTGAAACTCCCATGGAACCAAATGCTATGTTGAGCAGTGATACAGGTGAAATATTTGATGATCCTAGAAGATATAGACGACTAGTGGGGAAGCAGAACTATCTAACTATCACAAAACCAGGCATCTCCTTTGTTGTTAGTGTGGTAAGTCAATTTATGCAGAACCCCTGGATACCTCACTGGGATGTATTTCTTAGAATTGTAAGGTACCTGAAAGGAACTCCAGGTCGTGGGTTGTTATACAAACCAGGAGGAAGACTTGAGGTAGTTGGGTATACAGATGTAGATTGGGCATGCTTAGTGTCGGATAGAAGATCTACTATATGTTACTATACATTTTTTGGAAGAAATCTGGTGACATGGAAGAGTAAGAAGTAGACTGTTGTGGCAAGTAGTGCTGAAACCGAATACAGAGTCATGACACACACTATATGTGAATTAGTATGGCTAAAAAATCTCCTACAAGAGATTTGATTCTCAATGGATAGACCTATAAGATTGTACTGTGATAATCAAGCTGCAATTCATATCTCATATAGTCCTGTTTTTCATGAGAGGACAAAGCACATTGAGATTGATTGCTATTTTGTGAGGGACAAAGTCCTTAGTAGAGAGATAAGCATAGAACATGTGGGCTCAGGTGATTAGTGGGCAAATTTGTTTACAAAAGGTTTGAACTCAAGGAGAGTGAACTATATATGTAACAAGTTAGGATTATATGACATATATTCTCCAGTTTGAGGGGGAGTGTCAGTGTTGGTCGAATAAGGGTAGGTTCAAGGTTCAAAGTATCGATACCGGCGTATCAGCCAGTATCGACCCCTTTTTTTTAACTTCTAGTTGTTTTTTTTTTGTTTTTTTAGTTTTGGTTCAAAGGGGCCAGTTTAAGTCCCGACTACCCTCTGAACCAGGCCTTGACCCGACACAACCCCTGTAGGGGTGTATCGGGAAGGGCCCGATACGTAACGATTTTTTGAACTTTGGGTAGATTAGTCTTTTCTTCATGTTTAAGTTATATGCTGGGCAATCCTAATATTACTTTTGTAGTCATCTTGTCCCATACTTAAGTGGGAGTAGTTTAGTCTTTGTACATTAATCATAAGTTTAATTGTCTTCTTCTTCTTCTCTCTCCATTCTCTATTGGGTACAATGCCTGTCACAAATAATAATAATAATGATGATGATGATGATAAATTATATGATTTATGAAACACAATATTAAATAATGAAAACATGTTAGTTTTTTTTTACATGTCCTTAAAAAAATGGACCAACGTAGTTTTTATTCATAAAAATAAAGGACGTGTTAGTTTTGAAAACAAAAAACACATAAATAACCAACCTTATTTTTTTTTGCATTATTATTATTATTATTTTGTTTTGAGAAGAATTTGTTTTCAAATCACATGGTTTTCATTTGGTTACAAAACTTGCACAAAGAAAAACATTTTAGGAGAAAATATCAATTTAGGGACATCCCAGCAAGTAACGAGAGTTCATAAAACCCTAAACCATGGAAATAACAATGAGTAGAAAACGGATAAGCAAGTGGGAGCGGTGCACTAAACTGCATCCAAGTTCCAAGATGGTGTGATAGGCTTACAAGAAAGAAATCCATTTTCCAAATGGAAAAGAGGGGTTTTCATAGAAAATTTTCTGATTAATCTTGTAGTATAGTGTTGCTTGCAGTTTGTTGTTGTCAAAGCTAGTCTTCTGCCTTAGTTGTTTCAGAACTCAGAAGATCACTGGAAACTTCAGACATGGAAGATGTGGGGAGAGACTGTTTCTTTTGTTTTTCCCATTCTTCAACGACTTTCCACCATGAGAGAACTAAAACAAACTCAAGCTCTGATTACCAAAACAGGTTTAACTCGGCACCCTTATTTGATGGCCAAACTCATAGCCTTCTCTGCTCTTTCCACATCAGGCAGCCTCGAGCATGCCCAAGCCATCTTTGAAGAGGCCTCTATGGACAATTACTTCATCTGTAATACCATGATTAGAGCTTACTCTCAGAGCGTCTTCCCCATCAAAGCTGTTCTTCTCTATAATCAGATGCAATGCATGAATGTCAGGTCTGATAATTTCACGTACCGGTTTGTGCTCAGGGCCTGTGCTAGGGTTTTGTTGAGGAAAGAAGATGAAAGGCACGATGGTTCTGTTATTGCTCAAAAGGGAGCTGAGATTCATTGCAGGGCTCTTCACTCGGGTCTCGTTTGTGATCATTTCGTTCAAAATTCCTTAATCTATATGTACTCGCAATGCGGGTTTCTTAATCTCGCACGTCGAATATTTGATGAAATGTCGGATAGGACCGTAGCTTCCTGGAATATCATGATTGCAGCGTATAATAGAATTAGCGATTTTGACTCAGCCGATTTATTGATGCAGTCGATTCCTGTGAAAAATGTGGTTTCTTGGAATACCCTGCTTTTCCGTCTTGTTAAGATGAACGATATTGAAGGTGCAAGAAGGTTGTTTGAGGAAATGCCTGAGAAGGACGCTGTTTCTTGGAATTCACTAATTGCTGGTTATGTCCAGAATAAGGATTACCGTGGGGCATTGGAGCTGTTTCATGAAATGCAGGTCAACGGAGTTGAGGCCACAGAGGTAACACTTATATCTGTGCTGGGTGCATGTGCAGAAACGGGGGCTTTGGAGATTGGTAGGAAGATTCATGATTTTTTGAAACAAAAAGAATTGAAAATTGAAGGATTCTTGGGAAATGCCCTTGTTGATATGTATGCCAAGTGTGGAATCTTGAAGTTTGCTTGGGAAGTTTTTAATGGAATGAGGATGAGGCATGTGAGCTGCTGGAACTCAATGATTGTGGGCTTGGCTGTTCATGGTTACAGTGTAGAAGCTTTAGAGTTGTTTTCAGCCATGGAGAAGGGAGTTGATGATGCTAGACCTAACCGGGTTACATTTATTGGTGTTCTAATTGCTTGTAGCCATAATGGTATGATCGAAGAGGGTCACCGGTTTTTTAGCCGTATGATTGGAAAATACAAGATCAGGCCTGATATCAAGCATTATGGATGCATGGTTGATCTTCTTAGCAGATGGGGTTTGCTGGAAGAAGCTCATCAAATTATTAAGACGATGCCATTTGATGCAAACTGTGTGCTTTGGAGGACATTGTTAAGTGCTTGCAGGGTCCATGGGAATGTGGAATTAGCAGAGGAAGCCTTTAGGAGGCTTGCTGACTTAGAATTTGTTAGAGATGGAGATTATGTTTTAATGTCAAACATTTATGCTGAAGCTAACAGATGGAATGATGTTGGAAGACTGAGGAGGGAGATGCTTAACCAGGGTGTCCTGAAGAAACCTGGTTCCAGCCAAATTGAGGTAAAGCAATTAAATACTGTTTTGAATTGACAATGTGGAGAAGCGGCAGGTCAGTAATGGTAGAAATTGGTGACTGCTGTTTGGAATGCTTGAATGAAGTCTGAGAAATCAATTTCACATTTTTATCAAAGCCCCAAACTATCGATAAGTGGCTCCGTGCATTATGAGGCAATTGAAGGGGATACTTGGTGATGAAAATGAATTCTTTTAGAAGGGGCTAACCTTTAGTTGAAGATATCTCCCAACATTTTGTTCCCTTGCACAACCTGGAGAAAGATTTGGTAAAAAATATCAATTTATTGAAGAATCTGGTGATTGTCATGTGAAGGACAGTAAGACAGCTGATCAATGGGAAAACACTGTGAACATATCCCTACCATAAAGAACAGAATTTGGACATTTGAATGATGGTAATTTCCTTTTTTCTGCTTTTTGTTGCTCAATTTATTCTTCCTTGTCTTTTGTCCTCTTTCTTCTATACTTTCTTTTTATGTTCTGCTTTATTGACAAATATTACTTGTTTACCTCTCTGTACATGTTCTTTTCATGATAATCGTACAAATGGGAAAGAGAAGGCTTTCCAATGTTCTATCGTTGTAGTACCAATATGATCTAATACATTGCCTTCAAAATACATGTGCATATGAGAATGCTTAATCTTTCCAATTGCATCATAAAAATTTGTACATTCCTTAGTTGTGGCTCAATCATCTCTATTTTCTCTTACAAGTTTGTTTCTATCTAATTTCTTCTCTCTCTCTCTCTTGTTTTTTTAAGGTGTCTAGATGAGGTAAAGGGAGAATTTTCTAGGATTTCTATAGGGTATTTATTTTTGGTATTATAATTCAATGTACCTTTGATTTATGCTTTTCTTATTGTGTAAGAGTCTCAACCATTGTTGAATGCACTAACCATTTCCTTCTTTCCAACCTATCGTTGCAATTAATTAATGTTTGCTTTTGTAAAAAATGTCAAATCTCCGGTACTATTCAACACTCTTTAACTTTAAGTATTTTGAAGAATATAGCATCTTCAACTTAAATTTCCCTTTTTAATTCTTGGAATAATGTCTTTACTAGAAAGCAAATCATCATGCACATATCACATTTTGAGAGGCAAATTTTCCAACAGCTCTAATATTGTGTAGGATCAGTTTAGCATATGTTATTATTTACATGGTGAATTTAATGATGTAGTTGTATCACCATCACACAATCTCACAAATGACTAAATGACTGAAGAACATAAAGTGATGTGTCACATAGTTTTGAAGGTGGAAATGGGTTAGGTTGAAAAGAAAGTAAATGACAAGTTTATGCCAGGTAGAAAAGTCAAGCTAGTTGAGATAAGGTTTTGTTGAGTTGAGTTGAATTGTAACCCAGGTGAAAAAAATGAAAAACAAAATGGCAGGCCAGTGGGGTTCAATTGTGTTTTTGTCATTTGATTGTTTCAGCCTCATTTTAATTGGCTTTTGGAAAAGTTTAAAGAGAAAAAGAGAGATCTTCATATGGTGTTTATTGATCTAGAGAAAGCTTATGATAGAGTTCCTAGAGGGATAATATGGTGGCTCTTGGAAAAGAAAGGGGTTCCAAATAGGTACATAGAAATAATTAATGATATGTATGAGGGTGTGTCAACTAATGTTAGAACACCTATAGAAGAGACATTAGATTTACAATTACAATGGGTCTTCACCAAGGCTTGGTTCTTAGCTCTTATTTAGATTAAGCTTATGGACAAATGCCTTAGAAATGAGTTTGAGTTTGAGGGGGAGAGAGAAAGAGAGAGAGACGAATACAATTTAGACTATAAGAAAATTTCTATAAAACAGTTGTAAGGCCAACTATGCCGTATGGAGCAGAGTGTTGGGCAGTCAAGAAGCAATATGTCCAAAAAAAGAAGTGTGGCAGAAATATGTTTGCTGAGATGGATGAGTGGAAAAACTACTAAGTATAGGATAAAAAATGAAGTCATTTGTAAGAACATAGGAGTAGCACCGATATGTGATAAAATGAAAGAAAGTAGACTTAGACAGTTTGGTCGAAGCTGGATTTTGCCCTCACAAATTTGGTCCTGACAACCCTTTCAGTCATGTATTGGGAACATCTTCCCATGAATGAAAATATACTAGTACGGAGGTGTTCCCATGCATGGCTGCAGGTGTTGTGAGGACAGTGTGAGGACCGGTTTTGTGAGGATGAAATCTAATCTCAGTTTGGTCGCATGCATAGAAGATCATCAACAGCACCCAAAAAAGTGATTTATTGTAGGTTGAAGGGGCTAAAGAGCTCGTTGAAGACCAAAAAAGACTTGGGTAGATGTAGTGAAAAATGATTTAAGCAGCAATAATTTAATAATGGATATGGGTTTAAATAGAACAGAATGGCATAACAGGATTCATGTAGCCAACGCTATATAGTTGGAATAAAGGCTTGGATGATGATATTCTCTGAGTTATAGTTTTTGACACTGCAAAAAGGTCTTGCCAAGAGGTTTTACATCGTTTTTTTTTTTTAATAATAGGCAGACTGAACTAAATGGTACCAACTGGACTGGGCTGGACCAAGCACCAAGGGCCAAGGTGCTGTGACCCGAGCTTTGAGTCTGACTTGGAGGAGAGACAACATCCAGTTCAACCCTTGGGGGACTCAAGTAATGAAGTCATTCCCTAGCCTCATACCCATGGTTCAAAGTATTGATACACCTTTATGTATGGGCAGAGGTGTATTGGTATAAGTGATGCGCCTTTTTTTAATTTTTTTAAGTTTTATTCAAATTTAAAAGGGGTTCCCGAAAACACCTGTTAAGAGGTTTATCGGGCACCCAAAGATACAATACGATACGCCCCTTATGGGGAATACGGGGCATGGCGTATCATATTATATCAATACTTCGAACCTTATTAATAGCTGATACCTGCCGTATGGGCATGGTTACCAACAACCACCAGCCCAAAGGTTGATTAGCAAGACTAACAATTATTAATGAATTCAGTATGGCTTGACATACTTGGTCCATTCTAGTAAACTTGAAACTCAGAAGAAGAATGAACTAGTTCTGATATCTGTTCCAACTTTGTGCAAGTGTTCTCTGTATGATCATTTTATTATTTATCTGTTTGTTTAGCCTCTCAAACGGAGTTCACTCTAGAGTTGAACCATTGACCAAGCAGTGCGCCCATTTTGAAATTTCCATGTAACATTACCTTCTGTTAGTAAGTTTCTTTCAGTTAAAGCTGCGGTTTTCTTCTTATATAATGGCTTTTTCAAGTGACTACTAACCAAACTATGGGAACAAATACTTAAATAAATATATTAGTAGAAGAGCACTTTTTTCTTTATTTCCTTCTTTCCATTTTCAGTTCGAAGACATGCACTTGTTTGTCACTTGGTTCCAAATTGTGACGACTTCTAAATTTCCTTTAAACTAGTTTCCCATTTTACACTTGACATAGATGTAATTTTGGTTGCCTTTCTTTCATCATGAAATGAATGTAAAATTTTTCACGTCAACATTTCAACTGTCATTTCGTGTTTTTTATATCTAAAGTCTTTATTTTCCACCCCTTCTAATTTATTTCAATGTAATGGCAAGAACAAAATTTTCATCATGAGAGGGTTGCACACTGCATCTCAAAGGTAAACAAATTGGAACAGGTTTTATCAATTTAATGGCTAATAGGTAATAATGTAATATTTAGAAACCTGAATTTGCATCTTCTGAACTGACTTCCTATTCAAGGAGCCCATGCCCAGGTTATTGGGTATACTTGGTAGCTTCTCGTATCTTTTAATATTTTGGTTGATTGTTTCCCCTCTGTACTTCTAAATCTACAAGGGTGATCCTTCTGTAATGTCTTAAAGGAGTCCCCTTTCCGCATTGAACACTTAATTCCTTGGTTGCTAAGCACTAGAGACTTTATTCTAATGATTCATATCCCCACAACTGAATTCCTTGTATCTCCAAGTATTTTCAGAATTCGTAATTTCTAGTGCACCCTCAGGATGGCTTGTGCTATTGCTCCAACCTAATGTGGTCCAACATTAGTCCATTGCAGTCGGACCAAGTTCAAATCAATGTCTTGTTAGATCTAGGGGTGAGCAAATGGTTTATTCGGTTAAAAACTGAATCAAATAAACTAAAATTTTAAATAAAAAACTGATGTAGTACGGAAATGGAACACTTGAGGAAAGCTACAAAGAAAAGAGTAGAAGTCGAAATTTAGGAAAAAGAATTCTTCACTAAACAATTAAGAGAAAATTGATAACAAGAGAATTGCCTTAGCCTTTCCCTAGCTACTCTTTATATAGGCATACACCCTTATGTCTCATAATCCTAATTTGAAAATACTCGGTAGAAATCATTGATTGAAGTTTTAGATGAATTCCTTGTGAAGAAAAAGAAGACGATGAAGAGTTTCAGTAGTAGAGAGAAGAGAGGAGAAGAAAAGGTATGAGATGTCAATCAGAATTGAATTAGTTCTAGTCGCCAACCCCTCTTTTGTATATTATATATTCAAATTAAAAGAATAAGAGATTACAAGAATGCCCTTAGTAGGGTGGCTATTTAAGTAACTGAACAGTCACAACTTAAAAAACATAAACTAATGGGCCTAAAGCCCAATAACTTCCCAACTTAAAAAATAAAAGATAAATAATTGGGCCCAATAACTATATATCGGTCCAACTCAACACTCCCCCTCAAGTTGAGAGTAAATGCCACACATTCTCAACTTGCGTAGATCATGCTCCAGCTTGTTTCTTGCAACACCTTTTATGAGAATATCAGCAAGCTGCAAATCAGAAGTAATGTATGGGAGACAAACTTCCCCAGAAGTCACATTTTCTTTAATGAAATGTCTATCCATTTCAATGTGCTTTGTTCGGTCATGCTGAACTGGGTTATGGGCAATGTTAATTGTTGCCTGATTATCACAGTACAAAATCATAGGTTCTTCTGTCTTTACACCAATCTTTCCTAACAAGGGACAAATATAGAGAAGTTCTAAAGCTCCATGTGCTATGGCCCTG